TGACATAGGTGTCTTTGTCGTCCAGATGTTCCAGGTATGGATGCAGGGCTAGGGATACGGCATCTGCTGTGAATCTGGAATACTATCACCGTTCCATCACTGGATCAGAAACCCGGAACACCCTTTCTAACAGCACAGTGGGTGTCCTGCAAAGGTTCAAGAATTTGGCTTGCCACCATCTTCTAGATTTGCCAGAGATGGTCATGCCCACTGAGTTGGTAAAAAAAGTTGTAAGATTTCTTTAAATAGATATAAATATTAATTAATATTAAATACATTTACATTACAAGTGCATAAAATTCATCTCTTGCAGCAAGGATTTAAACAATCTAACAGACTATGAAATTGATTAAGGAAAAAAAAAACCTGCTTCTTAGATTATCTTTTTCGTATGTGTGCATATGCCTATTACTTAAAAGTGCTAACTAAACTCACAACAATTATGTTTAAAATAAAAGCATTCTAAATTCAAACAGCTCATAGAATTCTGAAATGAAGCTACCAAAATCTTAGCTTCTTCGAATCTCTGCTTTTGTCAAAATTGACAAAAAGTTTGCTCAGGATATGCAAGGTAACAAACACATATGATTTTTTCAAAAAAATTCAAAACTAGTTAAATAAAATAAAGATGGAGGGTCAGGTGATGTGTTGCTTCTGCATGATGTGGGATCAGGTGGACTCTGCTGTGGTTCCCACTGACTATATCCGTGGTAAATGGTGATTGCTCGAGGAACTCTGGCTCAGAGTTGATGAGCTGGCTTCTGAGTTTCAGACGTTGCAGCACATCAGGGAGGGGGAAGAGTTACCTGGACGCCGTGTTTCGGGAGACGGTCACACACCTTCGAGTAACTAACTTGAACTCGGCCAGTGGTCAGGAACAGGAGGATGTGTGTGGATGGGAATGGGGTCTGCAGGGAGGATGAGCCAACTGACTGCAGCACTGTGGTACAGGGAGACAAAGTTGGGGGAGAGAAGAGAAATGTAGTTATAACTGGGGACAGTGTAGTTACGAGCATAGACACTGTTCTTTGTAACCAGGATCGACAGTCCCGAAGGTTGTGTAGTCTACCTGGTGCTTGGGTTCGGGATATCTCATCTGGGCTGAAGAGGAACTTGGAGTGGGAGGGTAAAGATCAGTTGTCGTGGTCCATGTAGGTACCAATGACGTACATAAAACTAGGACAGAGGTTCTGCTAAGGGAGTATGAACAGCTAGGAGCTAAATTGAAAAGCAGAACCAAAAAGGTAATAATCTCTGGATTACTACATGGGCCACAAGCTAATTGGCACAGGGTCAAAAAGATTAAGCAGGTAAATGCGTGACTTAAAGATTGGTGTTGGAGAAATTCATAGCATGAATTCATGGCACATTGGCACCAGTACTGGGGAAGATGGGGCCTATTCCGTTGGGACAGTCTTCATCTGAATCATGCTGGGACTAAAGTCCTAGCGAATTGCATAACTAGGGCTGTAGACAGGGATTTAAACAAAGTGGGGTAGGTTCAGTTGTAGGGGAAATTAAAAAACCCAAACTAAAAGAGGCGGTAAGAGTGCAGGTCAGCGATGTGGCAGTAGGTTACCAAACAATAAAAGTGAGGGAGAAAACTTGTGATTGTCTTTATGCACCACGGATTTATAAAAGAGTAGGGAAACTTATCAGTAGAACAAATTTAAAAGCTTTGTATCTAAATGCACGAAGCATTCAAAGCAAAATTAAAGAGTTAATGGTGCAAATAGAAACATAAGGGTACGATTTGGTAGTGATTACTGAGGCATGGTTACAAGGAGACCAGGTCTGGGAATTGAATATCCAAGGGTACTCGGCATTTTGGAGAGAGAAACTGAAAGGAAAATGAGGTGGTGTAGCTTTGCTGGTGAAAGAAGGGATCAGTGTTGTAATGAGAAATGACATAAGCATGGGAGATGAAGATATGGAACCAATCTGAGTAGAAATAAGAAATAGCAAAGGGAAGATGTACTTGGTAGGAGTAATCTATAGGTCCCAAACATTGGTACCGCAGCGAGGCATAGTATAAATCAGGAAATATTAGAAGCTTGCAAGAAAGGTACAACAATAATCATGGGTGATTTTAACATGCACATAGATTGGATGAATCAAATTGGCAAGGGTAGCCTGGAGGCATAGTTCATTGAATGTATTAGTGATTATTTCTTGGAGCAGTATGTTGTGGAACCAACCAGGGAGAAAGCTACTCCAGATTTGGTATTGTGTAATGAGGAGAGATTAATTGATAACATCATAGTTAAGGATTCTCTAGGGAGTAGTGACCATAGTATGATAGAATTCAAAATTCAGTTTGGGGGTAAGAAAGTGCAGTCCCACAGTAGTATTCTGTAATTTCCTTTGTTTAATTGCATAGGCATGAGGACAGATTTGGCCCAAGTAGATTGAGCAGGAAGGCTAAAAGGTAAGACAGCAGATGAGCCATGGCAGTTGTTTAAGGAGCTACTCAATTCCTCACAACTAAAATATATCCTAGTGAGGAAGAAAGATGGTGGGGTGGGGTGGGGTGGGGTGGGGTGGGGTGGGGTCCGGGGTGGTTAAAAATATCCATGGCTAAACAAGGAGGTCAAAGACAATATGAAGTCAAAAAACTAAGGTATACTATATTGCTAAGGCCAGTGGCAGGCAGGAGGATTGGGAAACTTTCAAACATAAACAAAGGGATACTAAAACATTAACAAAAAGAGCTACGGTAAAGTATGAAAGAAAACTAGCACAAAATATCAAAAAGGATAGCAAAAGTTTCTATAAGAAATGGGAAGAAAGTTGCTAAGGTGAATGTTGGTACCTTAGAAGATGAAACCGGAGAGTTAATAGTGGGGAACACTGAAATGGCAGAAATGGCTAAATCAATACTTTGGCTCAGTTTTCACAGTGGAGGACAATAGTACCATTCCTATTAGAATAGGCAAGTCAGAGGCAACAGAAAGGGTAGAACTTAGAACAACCAGCATTGATAGGGAAAACACAGGTGACTGGCTGGTGGACAGAAGACAGAGAGTCAAGATAAATGAGTTTTTTTCTGGATGGCAAGAAGTAACAAGTGGGGTGCCAAATTTGCAGACAACACAATAATAGGCGGGATGATAAATTGCAATGAGGAAATAAGAACCTTACAAATGGATATAGATAGGTTAGAAGGGTGGGCCAAAATGTGGCATATGGAGTTTAACACGGATGAGTGCGAGTTCATGTATTTTGGTCAGAAAAATGGGAAAGCGACATATTATCTAAATGAGAAGAGACTTCGGGGTGTTCTGGTGCAGAGGGATCTGGGTGTCCTCGTTCATGAGTCACAGAAAACTAGCATGCAGGCACAGCACAATAAAGAAAGTGAAAGGAATGTTGGATTTCATAGCTAAAGGAACAGAACATAAAAGTAAGGAAGTATTGTTGCAACTATACAAGGCATTGGTGAGACTGCACCTGGAGTATTGTACACAGTTTTGGTCCCCTTACGTGAGGAAGGATGTGGTGGCATTGGAGCCAGTTCAGAGGAGGTTCACTAGATTCATCCCAGAGATGATAGATTTGTCATATGCAGACAGACTGAACAGTTTAGGCCTATACTCTCTGGAATTTAGAAGAATGAGGAGAGATCAAATTGAGGTATTCGGGATGATAAAAGGTATTAAAAAAAAAAGATGTGGGGCAGATGCTTCCTCTTGTGGGGCATTCTAGGATGAGAGGTCATAGTCTTAGGATAAGGGGTAGCAAGTTTAAAACAGAATTGAAGAGAAACTACTTCTCCCAAAGGGTTACAAATCCATGGAAATTGCTGCCCCCAAAAAATGCTGGGACAGTGAGTAAATTTGAAGAGGAGTTAGACAGATTTTTAATTGGTTATGGGGAGAAGGCAGGAAAATGGGCGTGAGGAATGCATTAGCCATGGTCAAATGACAGAGCAGACTTCGATAGGCTAAATGGCCTAATTCTACCTTATAATCTTATGAATTTATGAACATGAAACTTCAAAGAAAAATGTAGAAATAATCTACATTGAGAAAAGACTTATTGACAAGACTGTGAATGGGAAGTAGAGATAACAAAGACCATGGAAGTAATTGTGAATAAAGGTCTTAAGATACTTGCCTTAGAAGATTATTTTAACCATTAATTGCTATCAGTACCAAAAGTAGTTTCACTAACAGAGCTAACTAAACAATAGTTTGGCACTTAGATCACGGCAGATCTGTAACTGATCTCAACTTATTAACTTTGCTCCATATCCTTTGGTATCCTACCAATTCATAACATTTATGAAGCTGACCTTAGAAAGCTCCAAGTATTCCAATAATCCTTGGCCTTCTAGTAGAAAATAATCCAGCTTGCTCTTCTCATTACAGTAAAAGTAAATAAAAACTGCCTTGATTTCACTTCTGAATGGTTCACATCTAATTTTGAAGTCACAACTTTACTTCCCCCACTTCTCCACAGGAAATAGTTTGTCTGTACACATGGCACTGAAACCCTCAACCTTGAGCACTCATGAGGATTTGTTACAGTGAAAGCAAAAATTGCTGGAGTAACTCAAAACGTGTACCGAGAAAGCATAGCTCACGTTTGGACTCCAGTCATCCTTCTCCAAAATTTGTTAAATGTTTCAACTGGGCAAAAGGAACCACAGGAGCATCTAAGATAACAAGGTGTAGAGCTGGATGAACACAGCAAGCCGAGCAGGAAGGCTGACGTTTCGGGCCTGAACCCTTCTTGGCCCGAAACGTCAGCCTTCCTGCTCCTCATGATGCTGCTTGGCCTGCTGTATTCATCCAGTTCTACACCTTATCACAGGAGCATCTACACCACAGCAGTCACGTGACCGTCCACACACGAGCTAGTGACATCACCGGACACGGCCGCGCTTGCGCAGCGTCGAACACACGAACGTTTGCCGCGTGACAGTTAGTGCAAGAAAACTCAACACCAGCTATTTCTATAGTATACATAATATATATATTGTATTATTTATCACACAGCTGATTCAACTGCAAACCCCGGGCTCTATGCCAAACTTCCTGATTCGAACATCGGAAGTTTCAGATTCCCAGAAACTCTGAAGCGCAAATTGAGTAAGTTCGTTTGGGGATGGAAATGGGGATGGGGGAAGCGCTCTGGGTGTGAAAAGAGCAGAGAATGAGGATTTTCCGCTGTCGGCGATCACTTAGGGAATATTAGAATCCGTTAGTCTGCGATGTCGATGTCTGTCAGGAGTGGAGAGGCTGACTTGATGGTGAGTTTCTCGCCATTTGTCTGTGCTTGCCGGCTGTATGTGGTCACTATGGAAACGAGGGCACCGTGCACTCTGGGAGATAAACAACGGTTGTCGCGGCAACGAACAGGAAGTGGCGGCTTTTCTGATGAAGGGTCTAGGCCCGAAACGTCAGCCTCTCTGCTCCTATGATGCTGCTTGGCCGGCTGTGTTCATCCAGCCCTGCACCTTGTTGTCTAGGAAGTGGCGTAAATTCTGTTCCAACATGTATCGAATGGCATGTTTATTACGTCTGGCTGCTACAAACTTTCTCCATTGCTCCCCTAGCTTTCAAAATTGAATTGAATTGAATTGAAACACTGCTAACCTTTTATCGGCGATGTTTTAATAAACTTTTTTAACCCTTTCATCGATGGTTATTGATAAATTAATGCAAGAATTTTGTATACCAAATACAAGAGTTGACGAAAAAGATGAAGAATAAGGTATAATTTGCAGCCTCTCAGCTCCATTCCCCAAACTGAGTAAAATCGTACTGAGAAAGAACAGTGCAGGACAGCAACAGGCCCTACAGCCAAACAAGACTGCTCTGACACGTGATGTCTATCTAAACTAAAAAAAATTGCCTCTACGCTGTATATACCCCTCTATTTCCTGCCTATTCGTGTATGTGTCAAGATACCTTTTAAACGTTGCTATTGTATGCGCCTCCACAGCGCACTTATCACCCCCCCTGTAACAAACCTGCCTCTCACATCATTAAACTAAAGAGAAAAAAATTTACAGAACTGCAGATGCTGGAAATCAGAAATATTCTATACTGAAGAAGGGTCACTGAACCCAATTGATTTCTGATTTCTTTCCAAAATTGCTGCCAGACTTGCTGAGTTTTTCCAGCAATTTCTGTTTTTGTTCCTTCTAAACTTAGCACCTTTTACCTTAAACTTATGACCCTGAGTAATTGACATTCCCACCTTGGGTAAAAGAATTTAACTATCCATTCGTCCATGCCTCTCATAATTTGAATTAAATTGAATTAGCTTTATTGTCACGTACCCAAATGAGTACAGAGAAAAGTTTATAAGTCCCCACTTATAGCATCATCTTAGGTACAAAGGTGCATAGGTCCACCTTCTTCAGTTACAAGATCTTAGAAAACAGAGAAATAAAAAAGGCCAGCATTGCAGAAAAAACATTCAGAACCATTTTCCAACCTAGACCACACTGGCACCTTGCCTTCAGTCCATGCGGGGCTTCACCTCGAGATCACTTTGGAATCACCTCGAGACCAGGAGTCCATGCTGAGGCCATGCCTGGCCGGGAGACCGGCATGTCAGGTGGAGAAGATGCCACACCAGGAGGTAGCCATGGGGGTGGGGAAGTGGCTATGCCAAGCAGGGAGGCAGCAACGGGAGGCTGCTACACCAGCTGAGAGCACCCCTCATCGTGTCTGTGCTGAGGCCAGGAGTCAAGCGGATGCAGGGAGTCAGAGGCCAGGAGTCAAGTGGAGGCTGGGAGAGAAGAAGAGAAAAAGAATGGGTGGAGCGGACGAGCTCCAGGTGAAGCATCCTACTCCACTGCTGTCTCAGACTGGAAGCACAATCGAAGTTTATATTGTTTCTATCAGGTTGTCCCTCGTCCTTTGACATTCAGGTGAAAACAATCCAATTTTGTTCAATTTCTCCTCATAGCTAATACCTTCCCAACTAGGCAACATCTTGGTAAACTGTTTCTGTACCCTCTCCACAGTCTCCACATCTTCTGTAGTGTAGTGACCAGAACTTTACATAATGTGGCTTAACTAAAGTTCTATACAGCTGCAATATGACTTGCCAATTTTTGTATTCAATGCCCCAACCAATGAAGACAAGAACATTATATGCCTTCTTGACCATCTTATCCACTTGTGTTGCCTCTTTCAGGGAACTGTGGACGTGAATGCCTAAATTCCTCTATACGTTGATGCTACTAAGGGTTCTGCCATTTACTGTATACTTCCCTCTTACATGAGATCTCCCTCACATTTGTTTGGATTAAACTCCATGTGCCATTTCTCCACCCAAGTCTCTAGCCTATCTATACCCTGCTGTATCCTCTGCCAATCCTCCTCTCTATTCTCAGCCTCCCCAATTTTTGTGTCATCTGCAAATTTACTAATCAGGCCACCTACATTCTCCTCCAAATCATTTATATGTATTTTGAAAACAACAGGGCTCCCAGCACTGATCCCTGGAAATACCACTGGTTACAGATCCCCAATCTAGAAAATACTCTTCCACTGCTACACTCTGTCTTCTATGAGTAAGCCAGTTCTGTATTCACTTTACCATCTCACTACAGATCCCATGTGACCACTTTTTGTATCAGCCTGCCATGAGGACCATTGTCAAAGGCCTTACTAAAGTCCATATAGAAACCATCTACTGCTGTGCCCTCATCATTCATTTTGTCATTTTCTCAAAAAATGCAATCAAGTATTTCAGATACGACCTTCCACACAAAACCTTCAGTAATAAGTCCATATTCATCTAAATGTGAGTAAACCATGTCCCTAAGAATCTTGTCCAATAATTCCCCTTCCACTGACATAAGGCTCATCAGCTTGCAATTTCTTGGATTACTTATGTAGCCCTTCTTAAACAAAGGAACAACATTGGCTATTCTCCAGTCCTCTGGGACTTCTCCTGTGACTAAAAAGGATACAACGAATTCATACAAAGCCCCAGCAATTTCCTCACCTGCCTCCGTAGCATTCTGGGATAGATCCCATCAGGTCCTGGGGATTTGTCTACCTTAATGCTTTTCAAAACAACTTATTTTTTGGAACAAAAACAGAAGTTGCTGGAAAAACTCAGCAGGTCTGGCAGTATCTGTGAGGAGAAAATCAGAGTTAATGTTTCGGTCCGGTGACCCTTCCTCAGAACTGATGGTAGCTGGGAAAATGTCGGTTTATATCATTTTTTTGTATTGACATGCCCTAGAATATCAACATATCCCTAATGAAACTCACCATTCACCATGTCCTTCTCCTTTGTGAATATCAATATAAAATATTCAATGCAAACTTGTACTGGACTTCCCACGTAGATGTGACAGTCAAGAAGGCACAACAACATCTCTTCTTCCTCAGGCGGCTCAGGAAATTTGGCACATCCATAACGACCCTCACCAGCTTCTACAGATACACCATTGAAAGCATACTGTCCAGGTGCATAATGGCCTGGTGACTGTTCTGCCCAGGACAGTAAGAAACTACAGAAGGTGGTGTGCACAGCCCAAACCATCACGGAAACCAACCTTCCATCCATGGGCTCTATTTACATGGCTCGCTGCTGTGGAAAGGCTGCCAACATAATCAAAGACCCATCACGCCCTGGTAATGATCTCCTACAACCTCTTCCATTGGGCAGAAGATTCAGAAGCCTGGATACAGTCACTGGCAGGTTCAGGAACAGCTTCTTTCCAGCTGTTATTAGACTGGTGAATGGACTGTTTAGCCTCAAATAATGCTGATCACACTAATGTTGATCTCGCCTAGCACACACCATGTGCAATGCAACCTGTATGCCTCTGTCTAAGTCTTTTTAATCTGTTCATCCTTGCTAACTACGATCTGTCTGTACTGCTCATAAACAAACCTTTTCACTGTACTTTGGTACGTGCCACAATAAATCAATCAATCAATCAAAGACCTCACCTACTTCCTCTGGCTCCACACAAATTCTCTCTTGTGCCCTTGAGTGGACCTACCCTTTCTCTAGCTCCCTTTCCCTCCCTTATATATGTATAAAATGCCTTGGGATTTTCCTTAATCGACATTTGATACTAATTTACAGTGCTTCACGCGGAACAGTCGACAAGTAGATAATGTACCTAGTTACTACTTAGTGTCATTATGCTTTAATTAAAATATTTTCAGGGTCCATATGGGATTGATGTGATGAAGTAGCTATCATGATGTAAAGGAATGAAAGCTGTGAGGATGACCTCAGATAATGTAAAGACATAAGGATAGTTAAGTAAATTGGAAAACATGGTTGCAGATTAAGTTTTATGTGGCTAAGTGTGAGCATAGTTACTTTAGTAGCAAAGTGCAAGATATTTAAATGTTGACATTCAGAGATGTTTGGGTGTATTCACACAACAATTAGGAAGGCAAATGTCATATCGGCTTGCAAGAGAATTGGAGTGGAAGAATAAAAAGTCTAGCTACAATTTATAGGGCTGTGATGAAATTGTATCTGGAGTACAGTTTTGGACTCCATATTTAAGACAGGATATGCTTGCCTTGGAGGCAGTAGTACAGTGGAGGGTGGCAAATACTGTGGCTGCAAGAGCAGGTTGGAGGTTGGGCATTCTTTCGCAATTAACTCACCACCTAACTCCCCAGAAGGCACAAGTCAGGAGCGTGATGGCATACTCTAAGAAGATTGGCATCCCTCCATCACAGACGCACGGTGTACAACCATATATAAGATGGACTCTGGCAACTCACCAAGGAACCCTTGATATACCTTTCAAACTCGCAACACCTATCACCTAGATAAGCACAGAACACACGTAAGAACACCACTACCTGAAAGCTCTCCTGTTTGCCCTCTAAGATTTATAGTTTCTAGGGCTAAAGGGATCAAAGGGTGTGGGAGAAAGTGGGAACAGTATGCTGAGTTGGAGGATCAACCATGATCATATTGACTGGTAGAGGAGGCCTGAAGATCTGAATGGCCTACTGCTACTCCTATTTTCTATGTTTAAGCTATATATCGTCCCAACTTGAAATTATATTGCCATTCATTTACTGTTGTTGGGTTAGAATCTTGGAATTACCTGCTGAACTGTGCTGTCAGTGTAGCTACACCA